ACTTACTAAAAGTCTGAGGGGGCCGGCCGTTTGATGCTGGAGCCGCCGGACCGGGTGGCAGCCTCGCCGGTCCGGCGGCATTCCTCTCACTAACAGTGGAGGAGGAGCATGTGTCTGTCATGCTCCTTTGCGGTTCCCACATCCTGTGCTGGGAATTGTGGGAACCGCAGGGAGCATGATAGACACATGCTCCTCCTCCAGTGTTAGTAAGAGGATGTCAGGGTCTTACCTGAGTTGGGAGTCTGTAGCGCAGATATGATGCTCACCCTTGCAGATAGCCACAGGCCGAGGTGGTCAGGTAAGAATTCACCTGGCCTGTGGGTCTGTGCACGGGGGCTGTGCAGGATGCAGTACCAATACGCAGGACAGGCAAGGACTGAACCAGCAGGATGGTCGAGGGATAGCCGAGGTCAAAGGATGCCAGAGGACAGGAACAACGAGGAGTAGCCGAAGTCAAGGGATGCCAGAAGTCAGAATAAACGAGTCAGGAAGCCGGGGTCAATAATGCGAAGCGATGAAACAGGAACACTGGAACAAACAGGATCAAAGACTTGACCCTGAGCACAGGGCGAGGCTGGGTTTATATACCCTGCTGATGACTGATCAGAGTCAGGTGAAACACAGCCAAGTCAAGGTGCAGCCCCCAGAGTAGTAGCCATGTCAGGATGAACAGGACTGGAATCAGTCTTCACTGTAAATAGCTGCTGTGGCTCAGAGGTAGAAACAGGACCAGGACTGAGAAGATCCCCGGTTCAAGTCCCCTGTTGGGAACTCCAAGAGCGACCACGTCTTGCCGTCTGTCTATCAGGTGAGAACCGTGACAGAGGAATGCCGCCAGACCGGCGAGGCTGCTACCCGGTCCGGCGGCTGCAGCATCAAACGGCAGCCCCCCCCTCACAGTGTGCCACCGGACCGGCCACCCGGTGGCACCTTCCGCTCAAGTCCCCAATCCAGCCCTGCCGCCGGGCCCCCTGAAGGCGGCCCTGGCGGCGGGCCCCCCTGCCGGGCCCTCGGACTGTGTCCGAAGTGCCCGACCGGTCAGTCCGCCCCTGGTGGTTGCAATGTTTTGGTGCTGGACATTTTGTTAGAATACATGTCATTATGGCCTCTTTCAAATATCAATAGATATTAAATGTTCTCCTGACTGTCTCTGCCAGAAAGCTTAAATGGGCCATGGTTGCATCTTCAAGCAGGACAATGGTCCAAAACATACTTCAAAATCAACATGACATTGGTTTACTGACCACAAAATCAAGGTCCCTCAATTGCCATCCCAGTCCCCGGACTTGAACCCCATAGAAAACCTGTGGGGTGAACCGAAGAGAAGAGTCCACCAGAGTCGACCAACCACATTAGGTATTATAGGGGAAAACTCAGAGCTGGCAAAGGGATGTAGCGAAAAGTATTGCCTAAAAGGGTGCCAGTAATTGCAACACACATATATTTAACAAAACTATTTTTGTTTAGAAATCTGTGTTGTGTTTGCAATTGTTCGATATCCACAAGAGCTATTTTTTTGTGTAGTTTTTGAACAAAAAGTTGAGGTTAAGCAATGAAGACAATTTTCCACAGCCTTTTTTGCTCTTATTTTCCAATGGTGCCAATATCAGTGGAGGGAACTGTATGTGCAGATCTGTTTATGGGGCAATAGTTCCAGCAGATGGCCTAAAAAAACACGCCACTCAATCTGGCAGACAGAGCTGTAGAAATAAATGTTTCTCTGGACTAATAGAAAGACTTAAGAAAAACAAACAAAAAAAATCATGCAAATCTCGGGATAAGGAGATAAGATAAAAAGTATATAAGGCTTTTACATATTTACCTTGTGCGGATCAATTTCCATATCTACTCTAGCTGTAGTGTGAGTGAGCCTGCATCCCTCCTTCTGTTTGTATGTTTACTTGTGCTAAATAGCTTAGGATAATCAGGTATATAAATTCATGCAACTGTTATTACGGCATTTTAATCAGAGAGTCTACCACTGCTGCAAGCCTTCATTAGAATTCCCCTAATCTCACTTGTTAGTGTAACAAACAGCAATAAATGCCGAAGGAACTTGGATTAAGTCTGAGACACTGAGACATTAAAGGAGAAATATGGAAATGTCTAAAATTGTTTGCATTATTTATCTAAATGTCACATAAACAGTTCAGGGATATCCTGCTCATTATGAGAATAGGAATCAGGGAAGTCTAAAACAAAAAGTAATTAGTTGTTCTATCGTCTGCTCCAACAATATGTTCCTCGTAGAAAACAGTGCAACATTTAGAAGAAATCAGGGAGAATGAGAACTAATAGCCACTAATAATTTAATATATAGCTTGTCGTATCGTTTAAGCGGTCATATTAAACAGGGATTGGTAATGGCAGAGGCAAGAAAGATCTTCACGTATTATTCTTCGCTTCTCGGAATTATTGGAATTAATTGATCATCAAATTTAACTTTTTACTGAAGTTCTTACACCAAAATCAAGGTGTATCGGACGATTAAAGGTACTTAACATGGAAAAAAATTATAGATCAAAAAATCATCAACAAGGAAAACTATAGAACTGCAGATATTTTTTTTTAGAATTATGCTCACTTGTCAATCTATTGTTGACACGACATAAGCCAATAACTGAGTGACAGGGGAAAGCAGACAAAGCGATTCTCCTGCTCTCCTACAGTACGTGCAATGTAGATGCTGTGATATTGCTCTAAAAAGGTGTGTGTTGACAATGTATTGGCTATGATATCAATGTGTCAGCAAAATGACTGAAGAATGGAAGATCAGCAAAAAGGGAATTATGGTGAATTTCAAAGGTGAATTGTTCATTGTAGGTAAAAATAGTCAAGCCATAAAAATCACACATCTCAGCTATTTATTTATTTAAAGGAACACAATAGCATCAGGAATATAAACATGTATTTCTGATCCTATAGTGTTAAACCACCATCTAGCCCCCCTGACTCCCTCTTGCCTCCCTAAATATAATCTAATCTTACTTGTATTCAAGTCTACAGCATCTGGCTCTGTGCCTGATCTGCCTGCTTGGCTGACATCATCAGAAGTGATTCTCTGAGCCAATCACAATGGCTTTCACATAGGACTGGCTGAGACAAGTCAAGGAGGCAGATCAGGGGCAGAGCCAGCACAAGTCAAACACAGCCCTGGCCAATTAGCATCTCCTCATAGAGATGTATTGAATCAATGAATCTCTATGAGGAAAGATCGGTGTCTCCATGCAGAGGGTGGAGACACTGAATGGCAATCACACTGTGCAGCATTGCCCCAGGAAACACCTCTAGCAGACATATGAGGAGAGGCCAGTGGAGTTATCACTAGGCTGTAATGTAAACACTGAATTTTCTCTGAAAAGACAGTGTTTATTGCAAAAGGCTTGAAGTGAATGATTATACTCACCAGAATAAATTCAATAAGCTGTAGTTGTTCTGGTGACTATAGTGTCCCTTTAAAAAAAATAAAAAAAAATTAGAGTTCATTTTTTTTCTGTTGTGTTCTGTCATGAACTTTTTGCACCAACATTTACATCACTGCAAATGGCCGTTTAGTATATCAGCCCCACATGTAAAAACCCCATAGATTTTTAGTGATATGCATCTAACATTACAGGATACAAGCAGCCTAATAAGTGATGAATTTATATAAAAGAAGTATGCAGGGGCAGGCTTGAACTCCTTGACAATTTTGACCTAAATGTCAATTAAGGGCTACAATACTCAGGACAATCGACTTCAGTCTACTGGCACCTGAGTCTAGTACCTACTGGGCATCCTTAGTGTGTGTTCCAGCTCTCACAAAATCTGCTGTCGGAAAGCTGCAGTCTCCAGTTTATTGTGGCTTGGTGTATTGCCTTGACTGGGGAATTGGGGGTTATCCTGGTTCCCACTAAGCAAGATGTTACCTTTCAATCGCTCCTGGGTGAAATCGGTGATGACGGCTCCCACACGGTCTCACTAAAAAGGCACATGGCTGTGCTGCTGTTATGCCTGCAGAGAATGTGTCTGCCCGGCGGTGGGAAGAGGGCTTTCTGATAGTATTCAAAGCCCTCTGCCAGTGGTTCCGTAAAAGCCTTAAGGATTGGGGGAATCAGCCTAACCCACCTACTATGCTACCACTTAAAGGCAGAGCTTCAGTTCGTTCGGGGTTACCCTGCTAGGTGGGGAACAAAGAAGGTTCATACGACCAAGCACATCCTACGTACCTGGTGATACATTGC